ATGAGAAACTCAATAGTGAAATAATTATTCTCTAATCTCTATAGTAATTCGTTTTGTGTTTTAATAGGGCAATAAATTTGTTGAAAGCTAAAAACTTATGAATGTAGAATTCAATAGAAATTTTATGGAGATCAAACATTATAAATAATGTGAAATATTTTCAGCAGAACTTAACTTATATGTAGATACAAAAAAAAAAAAAAAAAAAAAACACACAAAAAACAAATAAAACAAATAATAAAATAAAATAATTAGGAAATAAATTAAAAAAATGGAAAAAGTAAATTAAACAATGAAAAATATATTTTTAAAAAATTTTTAAATTTTTAAAATTTATTTTTTTTTTATTTATTTATTTATTTTTTTTATTATTATATATATATTTTTTATCTACAGATAAGTTCTGCTTAAAATATTTCCCATTATAATATAAATATTGTAATATTATTTTAACATGAATGTGAATAAATTAAATATTTAATCATATCGGCCCGAAAGATAAAAAAATTAAAATGAAATTAAAGAAACATATATAGTTGATTATACATTTTTTGCGATAGTCGCGATAGTCTATTTTAATATTGTCTCGACAATGGAGTAGGTTAATTTATGCATAGCATGTATTCAAAAATATTCATACCTATATTATTGTAGACCTTTTTTATATTTCTAGATCAAATTTACGCCTCAGAGCAAAGTTAAGGTGCTATATATTGTAGAGCTGTGTGGCTGGCAGCTGGCGCAGAAATTTATGAGGGTGCAAAGTAACGTAAAGTAGAGTAAATCCAAATGAATTCATTTCTTTTTTCTGTTTTATGTATTTATTTGCGGGTATTAGCTATAACATGGGTGAGTAGAGGAGCCAGGAGCCAGGACGCTGCCTGCAATTAATTAACGGCAATGAGAGATGTTGCCGTTGCCTTTATGGCAACTAATGTGCGTTGCTTTTGTTTCTTTATGTTGCAGCAACATATTGCCGTATTATTTGTACGGGTTTTTTTCTTTTTCTTCGGCTTTTGTGTGCTTTTGCTTGGCTCGACTGGCCAATGTCTGGCTAATTTTCTATTTATTTCACCGCACAACGTGCATTGCCGTCTGACAGCAGCTGTGTGCATGTGTGTGTGTGTATGTGTGCTCCACAATCAGTCTAATTTATGAGTTTCTTGCACTTTCAGCCCAAAAATCGTTAAAGCGCCCGAATTGTAACTTTAACTAGACGCTCTCTTGTCATTTATTTTAGTTGAGTTTATTTTATTTTATTTTATTTATTTGAGTTTTATTTTTTTTTTAAGCTTAAAGTTTGAATTCGTGTAGCTGACCGCACCCTGGCTCAGAACTAGTTTAAATCCATTCGTAACTTCACTCCATTCGCTCATCAACTTGACTCTAATGACATTCACGTTTCTGTTGCATTTCGAATGCCAATTGCCAATTGCGAATTGGCTGTTGCCAGTTTGCCCATTGCCTGGCACACGCCAGGCAGCCCGCTTGGCTACTGGGCTTAAAGTTCAGCACGGGGTCGGGTGCTGTGGGAGGTAGGGAGACAGTGTTGCTCCTTTGGCCCGTGCGTGTTGTCATTGTTTGTTGTATGCTGGATGCTGGAGCTGTTTAAGAGACAACATTTTCCATTTAGCTGCAACTGATCTCATCTGACATGGCCTTTTAGCTATGATTTATGTATGCGCTTTTCTGCTTCAAGTGCATATACTTAAATACACTCGGTTAACGGGTATAGCGATTGTATTGTGTTGTATGTGAGACAGACTTTTCGATATGTATATAAATATATAAAATATATATACTCTTAATCAGCTTCAAGAGCTTTGAAATGCAGCTCATATCAGCAGCTATTACTGTCGGCTGTTATATAAAATGTATGACTTGTGATTATATATATAAAGTTATGTATATTATAACAAAGAATTAGCAATTGTGGGATTTTAGAAAACAAATCTTACTTGAGCCTTTAAAAATAAAATTATTTCAATTATACTTGTATTTCCTCTATGAAAAACGAATTTTTTGTAGTGTATTTAACATTCATTAGCTATATACAATTATCTACATTCACAGATTGATCTTGTTTTATGGGCGTCTGTTGTCATGTGGGTTGTTTAGCAATTGTTGTTTAAATTAGCTCGTGTATTTCTCTTAAATAAAGAAAAAAAAGTTAGAAGAAAAAATGTAATATTAGCTTTATTGTTTTTATTTTTTTTTTCCTTATTACTATACAATATTAATTAATTTACTGTTTGTACTTGAACGAGACACGATTGGCACAAATGCATGCATACATTTTGTAACATGAAATGCCAATGAGACATTTCTTCGAGCTATGATAAATTCCGATTCAGCATCAATGTAAATCACAACGCAGACTGCAGATTGCAAACGGTTTGCGCAATTAATTTGCGCTGCAAATTTTCTGCAAATTTCTGTTGCAATTCGATATCTGCTGAAGATTGCACCGATCAGATATGGGATAAACGCTCGGCCATATTGGGGCTATGCCACAACAGCAGCAACAACAACAACAATTATTAAGCGTAGATCGGCAGCCAAACGATCGAGTAGAAAATTTGGTTTCACATTACACATTGAAAGGAAAAAACTTGTTGCTGTTGCTGCTGCTGCTGCCGGGTGGAAATTGTTGAATGCATTTAGTGACCATTAATCAATTTGCAGTCTCGTTGCTGGCGATTTTCTGGCGGGATTTGTGGCCAGTAAATAAACACCCGCTAAAGCGAAAAGCACGCTAGTTACAGCAACCAATTAAACTGCACTTTTAGTTTTTTACTTTTTATTTTACTCTCCGTCTAGACTGTGTTTTATGTTTGTCGGTTCGAATTACTCATAATTTGTTAAATGTTTAGCAGCTTTTCTATTTTCCATTTCATTCATGCAAATTGTCAATAATAATTCACATTTGACATAATCTTTATAAATTGCCCATATTCGCAGAAGCTGTGAATATGTTTCAAGCGCTCCTCCTCAGACACACTGGACCCACACAATAATCAGCTGAAAAGTGATTTGTGTCTGTGAAATGAAAGTCAAATATAATATCAAATGATAAGAGACTTTTTGATATTTTCAACTGTCATATAGCTATTTTTGTTAGCTTGTATATAAATTTGTTTTTCATTAATATTGAATTTGTGGAAGTTTCCTGCAGCTTCCTCGAAAACTGAAAATGTGCTTAAAATGATTTTTCAAACAAGTCATTCACCTGCCATTGTTTCTCGTAAATATTACTTAGGCAAATGTTAGGCTACTTTTCATTATTTCTTTAATTTTTCATTACAATTTACTGACAGTATATATTTTATTTTCTATTACATACATATTTATAGTGCTTCACCCTTTGCCCTTTATTTTTACAAATTTGACTTTCAATGGAGAAGAATTGTAAGCAAAATGAAAGTAAAAAGTCAATTAGAGATAATTTTCGTTATTTTCTGTTTAGTTGGATTTTTTGTGTTTTTTGGCTTGTGGCTTCAACTTTGCCATTTGGAATATGCAATGCAATAATTCGCTACCTCGCAATCGCAATGATTCAGTTTTAGCAGTTTTTTCTTTGCTTTTTGGCTTTCCCGGAGGCAACAAATTGGCAGGTAGCTAATGCTACAGCGGTCTAATGTGTGTGTGTGTGTGTGTGTATGTATACGCTTCGTAAAGTTCAAGCCCGAGGCTAGCTGGCTGTCTATAGATGTTTGACGGGGCGTGGCTAACCAAGTAGCCCAAGTGGCAAATTCAATCAATAACCAGCTATGGATGGAAGTTGCAATTGCAATTGCAACCAAATATATATATGTATGTATATATATATATATATAAAATACGTACAGTGCAGTCGCAGTACACTCGTCAGCGCACATTGAATTTGAATTTAAATTTGGATTTTGTTTAGTTTTGGGTTTTTTTTTGTTTTTCTTTTCTGTGTCTCTGAGCACAAAATTGATGTGAAAAACGTGAGTTACGGCAATTGCACGAAAACTGTGTACGTCCGCGCTACTATTTGATATTTATTTATATGTATTTCGATATTTATGGCTAGGTGTGGCCCAACAACAATAACTGCAATTAAATTATCAACAAATCAGATAATATGACAAATTTTTGTTGCCCAAAAAATATTTGGCAATTGGCGCTTGTAGCTATTAAGGTCTCTTTTGGCATTTAGTTTATAATTGATATTGAATTGATTTGCATTGACACAACGGAAGAGGCAAGCGAATTGTCAATAATTTTGTTAAATCACACGCGCTTCGCCCTGACAACAGACCTAATTCAAATATATTTGAATCAAAGATTATTATATTAATTATTATGCTATATTTGCTAAGGCGAAAACTCGTTTTTTGAACAATCAATGCGAGGTTTGAACTACAAAAGTAGTTTTTGGCATAAAAAGCAACAAGTTTGAAATCTTTTAATGCCATTTGAAGCATAATATTAAACATATTTTGTCGCACGTTTAGTCTGTTTTTCATAAATTAAACAATTTACTAAGTCAAAGATATATACGAGAGGTATATGAGACCTGTAGCTCACTCGATAGATATATCTAAATACAGGGTATTTCATAGTCAAGCATTGTGTTTTTCATTTAGACACACACACACATGTCGGAAGCAACTGACAGAAACTTGGCAATTCAATCTATTTGATGCCTCACAATATTCATACGCCACGTTGCACGAAGCATCATTTGCTGCTATGGCAAGCTATAGTCAACATCTCTGTGTGTATGTGTGCGTGTTTGCATTTGTGTTGCAAGCTTGCCTTGCGCTTGCACCAAATTGAAGCATTTCACATTTTTAATTTGTACGTGATAGGGCAAATACATAGTTGTTGCCTGCTACTCGATGATGTTCGAGTTCCATTTGCTGTTTGTGCTCTTGCTTTTGTTTTGATGTTTGAGCACAGAAATTATGCAGCAATCGCCAAGTAGAAATAGAGCTTTTGTTGTTGTTGTTGTTGCTATTATAGTTGTTGTAGCTGGCAGGCTGCCTGCCCCCCTTGATGTTGCATGCTTAACTACCAGACAAATTGTCTCTCGTGTCTGCTTTGTCTGGCAGCACTTAGCACGTGATTGAAAATTGCAACGGAATGAAGTGATTGCAAGCAAATGCAACAGCAACAGCAACAAAAGCAACAACAATGTTTAGTTCTTATTGCACACAATTCATTTCGCATTCATTTCACTTCAGTTTTTGCATTTCATTCGATTGAATGTTAAGTTAGATTTTCTTGTACCTCCAAATTTGGAAAATTACAGACAACATCGCATTTTTGTTGGTGTGGACTCTTTGTTTTTGGCATTAAAAGCAAATTTACAAATTAGTGTGAAATTATGGCAAAAAAAAAAAAAAAAAAAAAAAAAAAAAAAAGGCACACACAAACAAGAACAGCTCAAATGGCAACAATAACAACAAAGTAATTCCGCCGAAAAAATAGGAAGAACAAAAAATATGAACGAAGTAAAGCAACAACAACAGACAGCAAACTCACCGAATATAAAAGCTGCTAAAATAATATGTAAAGAAAACAAAAGATTTGAAGGCAAGTCAGACGACTTTTAAATACACTTGAAATTTATTAATTTGAAAAATGTATTTAATAATATAATTTGTATTTATATTTATCAATTATATGCTAATGTTTAGCTCCTCCGTCATAATTTATTGAACGTTCCCATTTGCATCTGTCTCGATATGAATAAACCACAGCCCAAAAGTAAACGCTGAAAACTGTCATAAGAGTTGTATATAAGATATATAGATATACATATAGAATAGATATCATACATACCTATTGTAAGTAGTATGAAGGAAACTAAATAGACACAGAAATTACATATTGCAGCCAATATAATAAAATATATAAGGCTGATCACCAGATGTATGCCACTTGATATCAAATAAACCAAAAGAAAGTTTGGCGATTTCTAAATGAACCGTTATATATTGATAATCAAATAGAAAACTTTTGATATTATATCTTACATAAATAATGCCCATTAGCAGAAACACATTGCCAATCAGATATATCATGCCACCCAAGCGACTCACTATCAAGAACTTATTTCCAGAAGACCCTGTTTAAACGATGAAATAATTATTTATTTACATTTATACTCTGTATTGATTTGAACTTACATTGACCCAGGCAAATGGCGTAAAATGATAACATGAACTCAAAGACATAGATGATAAAAGAACCGCAACGCAGATCTACACAGAAGCAACATTTCTTTAAGGGTTTCATTTTAATTTGCTGTATAAAATACACTTGATGCAAAAGTCATGGCCTAGCTGTAAGGCCCTGATCTAGGCTAAGGCATACATACACACAACAAGTTGTTTAGCCGTACTACACGGAATTTCCAGCAAGGTCAAAGTCAGCTGCTCGGAACCACAAAAATAAAAACCAACCAAACAATAGCAGAAAAAAAAACAAGTAAAAATGCTCTAGACGCAAATGAACGTTGAAAACATACCCTAAGTAATTGTTTTTCCGAACTGGTGGGAAATTAAGAAGTAATAAGAATGTCTAAAAATACCAAAACGAACTTGTTCTGATCGTGAGCAAGAATACATGCCTACATACATACTGCTTGTGGCATAAAGCTTAGCTAATTCATCATACCATGTTTTTCTAGATCCAGCCGTTCTAGGGTATAAAAAAAACCTTGTATATGTAGTGCTTGCTGTGTTATATGTTTAATATTCTAATTTAGGCTTTGTTCTATGAGCTGCTAAAGATTATGCATACCGGGTGGGCGGGGGCGTCGGCGGTTAGGGGGAGTGGCAGTAACTCCAATTTGACAAGACAAAGTCGTTGAGCGTCTCTATAAATTACAGTTCGTTCAGCTGGAGGAGTCGTCGCTGCGGGTGCTTGGCATTTAAATGGAGTAGATATAAATTTATACACTATATATATGTATATGTATATTTGCTATATATAAAGTATACTATATGTATATCCATTTACCTTTCGCGATACTCCAATGAATAAAATACCCATTCAAACAGCTTTTAATTAACAGTCAGCACTGGCAATCAGCGACGCACGTGCGTTCTTCTGGCCGCACCGAAAAAAAAGAAATGAAACAGAAACAGAAAACTGAAAATGAAAATTAAGCCGGAGAGGCATAGCCATTAAAATTCATTAGCTATATGCACATCGGTCGCGCTTTTATTAATAAACAATAAAACACATTAAAGAAACCAAGCAACAAAAATAAAATATATATATATATATATATATATATATAATATAAATGATGAAACGAATTTATGAATTTTTGGTAACGAGAGCAGCTGCATTGGCAACTCGATTGGCCAAAATATCAGCAGCTAAGCAACAAAAAAGTTTTTGGTTTTTTGGATTGTCTGCTACAATTTCGCACGCTCTCTGTTCAAAGGCGTGGCCCTTCGTTGGCCCAACTAAAAAGGTTGAGAGGGTCAAAAGTACATTAGGGGCATTACTGTAGATCAATTATTTTTTGGGTTTAAATATTTATGTTAGTCAATATATAATTTGTGGTTCAGTGAAGCAAGAAATAATTTTTTTTTTAAAGTGTGTTATTAAGAAATGTATTTATTTTTGTAATTCAAATTTTAAAAAAATTGATATAAAAATATAATATATAAAACACAATAAAAAGAATTTAATTTAAAAAAAAAAATTAATAAGAAATAAATATATAAGGTAAACATATTTATAATATTTCTATTAATTTATAGTGTTGATAGTTTATTTTATATTTCATACAATTTTTAAAATTAATAAGAAATAAATATATAAGGTAAACATATTTATAATATTTCTATTAATTTATAGTGTTGATAGTTTATTTTATATTTCATACAATTTTTTTTTAAATTATTATGTCAGATTTCTATGACAACAAATAGCTTTGAATTTTGGGTTCAGTTAGCGTAACGCATATAGCCTCTTTCTTTTTGAGGAGCGAGTAGAAAAGGTTCTTTTTACTCATCTATATCTCTTTCTCTGCCCTCTCTCGTTTTAATGACGTAATTGTCAAGCCTCGTCGTGAACTCGCCTTGTGCTTGCTTAATTGTGTAATTGTTTAAAAATAAATTACAATTTCGTTTAATTTCGTGTTGATAGGCGTGCATATGACTAATACTTTAGCTTGATGTTCAACGGGGTAGGACGGTGCAGATATGAAGGCACGTAGACAGTCGGTCTGTTATACTTATTTCTTGTTTATTTCAATTTTTTTTTTTTTTTTAATATCATTCTTAATTTTTTTTTTATGTATGTTATATAATCGAGGTATGAAATGCTGTTTAAATATAAATAAGAGATATAGATGTTAAACATTTGTCAAATATAAGATAAGTACACGCAGAAAGCTTTGTAGCTCTCTGAGTATTTCTAGATAAGTACATTGTATTATCTTTATATTGATGTTAGACTATTGCTATATAGAGCTCTATTTTCAGCTGCGAGCAATGAGACTTCAATATGTTATTCACTATTCTAAAATTGAGTCAAATTGCGATCAGGTTGACTAAGAAAGTAACACGCTCGAGTTGTTTACTATTTCTAATATTCAAATAGATGTTGAATACATATATGTTTATACACACACACACTGGTCTATCCATATATAGCGTTAATCGTTTTACAGCACTTAAAGTTGAGTGTTTAAAAATAGTCGCTACTCATAGTAAACGTTAATTGTTATTGCGCTAATTCGATAAGGGGCGTTTGGCTGATATTGGGTTCAAGTTCAGTGGGTGCGAGATGGGGCGGTTGCTGTGCTGCTGAAGGTGACTCCCACCCACTCGCACACACACTCTCTAACACTCTGCCTCACTCACTCTCCAGCTGTTTAGATAACACTTTGAAATTGTTGCATAAATAATTTCAACAACTGAAATAATATTTTAATCTATTCAATGTCAAGGTCAAGCGAGACACACAACAAGAAATTCGTTTGTTTTGCTCCCGACATTTCTTTTTCTTTATTTTTTCGCTTTTATATACTCTCCCTCTGTTTATTTTCTGCTTCGCCTCGTTGTGGATTTTTTTATTTTTGTTTTATTGAGTATTGTTGATAACTTTATTTGCCTGCGCTTTACGAAAAAAAAAAAAAAAACACCAGCAACAAAAACAATAAAATTCTTCAACAGTCCGTGACAAGACAAAATTCCAACAGCAACAACAAAAGCGGCCAAAAATCCAGCTTTGGGCATAAAATTTGCTTTGTATTTTATTTTATTTATTATACTCGTTCAGTTGGTAAATAGAGTATTATGATTTTGTAAAGTGTTATAGAAAATATATATTACAGGAATATACAGAGGTGGTCAAAAGTAATTACACACCGAGCTTTTTTCTGCATGCTCAGCTTTAAAAGCTTGTTGTTGTTGTTGTTGTTCGCTGTTTTTGAAAAAAAGCTTTTGTGTCATAAAGCTTATTCTGTGTAGAAGCGATCGGCAAAAAGAAATTGCTAAAATAACGGTACAGGTTCGTAGATATAGCAAAAAGAACAGTTACCTAGAGGTTGTCAAAAGTATTTACACACATTTTTTTTGCGTCATAAGTATTTACACAAAATTTAAACATTTTTTAATGGCATTAATTAATGTTATTTATTTTTAATTTTTGTTGAACATAATAAAGGGTTTATTTATTTAATTTAGTATTTTGTCATTCCCCCTTTTTCGTCAATTACAGCCTGAAGCCTGGCTGGAATTGATGTTACCAATGATCGGGCGAAGTCAACTGTGAGCTCCGACCATATTCCGGTAACTTCCTGAATGGTATCATCCCGTTTCCGGTCCTTTTTGAATAGCCGTTTGGATTTTATTAAAGCCCAAACATTTTCAATAATGTTAAGGTCCGGACTTTGCGCAGGCCAGGGCAGGATTGCTTGATCTAAGTCCGCCAAAAACTTGGTGGGTATTGAGCCTTTGTGGCATGGAGCATTGTCTTGCTGCAATACCCATTCGATTGTTGGAAATAGTTTGTTCGCCGAAGTAAAAGCATTGTCATTTAATATGTGCAAATATCGTGATTGGGTCAGAGTGCCCTCTATTGGCACAAAATCTCCAAAACCATAGTACGACATGCAACCCCAAAACATTACTGTGCCACCTCCAAACCTGCTAAGAGGCTGCACTGCAGTTTTTTATTTTGTCGACTTAAATGCATAAAAGTCTTTCGAAATGAGCCTTGAAACTGAAATGCAACCTCATCTGTCCACAAAATGTTGTACCAAAACTCCAAAGGCTTTTCAATGTACTCTAAAGCAAAAGCAAGACGTTTTGCTTTGTTTGCTTCCGAGATATCAATGATTTTTCGGACGACATAGGTGTTTATGTCAACATCCTTTAACCTTCTACGAATAGTAGCATCACTGACATGTTTACCAATTATCTGTTGTGATGCTGCAGACACTTTAACTGGGCTTATCTCGGGGTTTTCTACGAATGTGCTGACAAGTCTTCTGCATTCCCTGGTGTTCAATGCTGGCTTTCGCCCACTTCGGTGTAAATTATTCAAATTTCCAAGTGTATCCCTTTTGTTAACCAAGTTATACACCGTTTTTCTAGATATTTTGAATATCTTTACCAACTCCGATGCCCCAACACCACTCTTAAACTTGGTTACGATCTCGGATCTTGTTTCGACTGATAGTTCCTTTGTTTTTACCATTTTACAGCACATCTACAATTTCAACTACAAATTGAATTCCGATCTTAGTCAAAGACCGCACATGATCAACGCAAATCAAAGACTAAAGGCAAATTTACATTGTGTAAATACTTATGACGCAAAAAAAATGTGTGTAAATACTTTTGACAACCTCTAGGTAACTGTTCTTTTTGCTATATCTACGAACCTGTACCGTTATTTTAGCAATTTCTTTTTGCCGATCGCTTCTACACAGAATAAGCTTTATGACACAAAAGCTTTTTTTCAAAAACAGCGAACAACAACAACAACAACAAGCTTTTAAAGCTGAGCATGCAGAAAAAAGCTCGGTGTGTAATTACTTTTGACCACCTCTGTATATAAAATATATATTCCGCAATCTGAACATGAGCGAGTATGATGCAGTCAGTTTTGCACGATTGAAATATGTTTTTGCTGTTATTTGTTTAAAATTTGTCAGTTACTTGTTTTGTTTTTATGATATTTACCTTACTTTCCGTTTTGTCTAATTCAAATAAAACAGTAAAAAGGCAAATTTATTACATTTTAGAATTTATGACTCATGTGCGTAGATAATGCAGCTTGTTTTTGTATTTGTTATATTGTGCCTTACTATGGCCGGATCTTGGAGTTGAAATCGTCACGTATTAGCTTAATGAAAGCCAAACATTTTACATGTAACATATATAGCTTTTGAATAGCTTCACTTGGGATATGCGATTGGGGGTGCCTCTGTCGCCTCTCATAGCCAACGTAGTTACGTGCGCTTTGAGGCTAAAGGAAATCTTTATCTGACGGCGACGTCACTTTGTGCAGCAAGGCACATGCAATTTCCGCTGGCTGTCAACTGCCAACGTATTCGATATGCATTGCTATGATGCGAGAGAATATTGTAAGAAAAATGCTGTCATAATGTATAATACAATATATATATATATATATATATATATATATATATATATATGTATATACAAAGCATAAGCTTATTGCAAATATACTCTGCAGTGTGGGCGGAAATGGGTGTAATAAAAAAGGTAAAAGGCAATTGCTAAAAGAACCTCATCTGCATACAAAGTCTTGGGAAGAAATTTCCTTATTTAGTTTGTTTTTTTTTTATGCAAAATTTTCTTCTAGCTAAAAAAAAGTTATTTTATTATAGGATATGTTGCAAGTTGTGCATTCCTTTCATAAGTATCTTATGCATATCTTTATATTTATTTTCTGAATTGCATTTGCTTATCATATTTTGTTTATGTTTTCTTTCTATTTACAGCTCCACCTCTGGTTGCAATGGCATCTTCTCACGTCGCGTGGATTTCTCATCATTCAATTTGCTGCCAAAGACGCGTTTAAATTCTTATCAAGTTAAGGTGAGTTATTGACACCTATATCTATATCTTTATCTCTATCTATTACATATACAATTTACATATTCTACAATGAATAAGTGAATATAGTCAATTAGTCGCGCTCTTTACTCATTAATCAGCTAAACGAACTACAACTCTAGCTGACTTTAGCTATTTCTATACACTCATTGACTCGCTTACTCTCTCACTTATTCACATTTCTTGATTATACTGCATTCATTCATTCACAAATGTTCAATTCGCTGGGCTTTCAGTTCTTGGAAGTTACACACAATCATATATATGTATATGAAATCGCCTGACTTGGCAAACTAGCAATTGGATATGGTCTTGGGACAGGCCATGGCTATGTTAGGGATCTTATGGGTTAGGGGCCAGCTGCTGCTGCTGCTGTGGCATTGTTTGCATAGCGCAATAGTTTAGATAATTTGCAGATGTTGTTGTATCAGTCAGCCAGCAAAAAGAAAATGACCAAATTCTATGGAAAAAGCAGTATAAGAAAATTGCTGGCAAAGTTTTCTGATGTTGTTTTTGGCTTTTGTTATTGTTTTCGGTTTTCATATATGTTTTAGGTGTCACATAAAGGCACTGAAATATGTGAGTTTTGTTGTTTGAACTGCTGGGCGATATTTTTTCTAAGCGAAATAGAGCATTTAGTAAGTGATTTAAGAAAAGTTGAGGTTGTAGAACTGTGAAATTTTGTTGGGTATTCTTATCGAATATATTGGAGGAAGGAGAGTCAGTTGGAGAGTGAGTCAGGGAGAGACTGTAGCTAAAATGTACAATACAGAATGACAAATCTTTTAAATGGAAATATTTAAATATAATATTACGATGTGTAAGGAATGCACTGCTAAAAATTTTGAAATTGTTGGGTTAATTGAATAGAACATAGTATATACATATAATTATTTATCAAACAGCAATTTATTGAATTTAGACATTAGACACTCCTAAAAGGACCGCAAGTTGCAACCCATATTCGATAGATATATAAAAAGTTTGGCCTGCCATGATATTGAATACCTTAAGTATATAAACAATCTCTCCCTTGTCAACTAGTTCAAGTAAGCTTCAAAAGCCATTAAATTTATTTTTATATTGATTGTGTATCTCTCAATGCAATTTCAAATTTAATTGATAATAACAATAATTTCTTATTATAAACATTTATTTTTACTATAAGCATTTTTAATTTCTACTTTGGACTTTGCCTTTGTTAGAGTATTTGTGTTTCGTTGTGCTCTTGTGGCATCCTCTCGTTGTGGCTAACTGTGTATTAGATTACTGTTTACACTTTCGGTTTGTGCCAATGCACTATGGGGAAAAATCCAAATTATCGGGTATTAATTAATAACTTAAAAACTAAGCCAGATTTTTTGATCCGGTTTTTGTATTATTAATATGTATACCATCAGAAATATATTTTAGAAAAATGGGCGTGTCACCGCCCACCCAAAAAAAATTTATTAAAATTTTGTATTAAAAATTTTTTTTTTTTTTAAAGAATTTTGCTTGTTCATACTTTAAAATAATAATTTTAATTGAAAACAATCGAACTTTCATAAAATCGAAATTAGTTTTCTTCAGTTTCGAGTTCCAAATCAGCCAGAAATATTGATCCGCTAAAAAAATTCGGGTTCTTCAACTGATTTAATTGTGCCTTCAACTTTACATAATACAATACGTACAACTTCATTAGACAGCGACCTTTATGCTTTCAAACTCTTTTCTAAAGATTTGCCGAAGAAATAATCTGATCAGATGTATCCATTGTTAAAAACCATCAGCGAAATTATGGATTCTGCTCTCATGCTCTCATGCATGATGAAATTAGTCTGATTTATAGACCTGGTTGGGCAAATCAGACGCTTCCTTACAAAAAAGCCTACAGGATGAACAGTACTTTCCATAATCTGCCTCAAATGAACAATTATTTTTATAAACATTTGCTGTCATAGGCAGTCATTCATAGTTGTCAGCTAGTTTTTGTTCCTGCTGCATTTCTTCCATTTGTAATTTATATTTTGGCAAAAAAAGCGGCTTTTGCTTTTTTAATATCATTTATAAGTTGAATCAATATTAGTCTTATTTAGTTTCAAAATCACAATTACTATTTCTTGGTTAGAGTTGCCTTTTTCATTGAGCCAAATATCACACAGGTCAGCTCATAGTCACCTGCTAAAAATTGATTTGCGCCGGTTGTGCGCAAAAGTGCACATTGAGACAAAGGCACTAAGATCCCAATTGATTACTCTATAACATGCAATTGGAATTACACTGGTGCGCCCTGGTGGCTGTTTTATATGTCTTTGCAAAGTTTAATTTTATTTACAAGAAATGAAATTTGACAACATTTGCTAATTATACAATAAATGATTAAAATAAGTTCAAACATCAATTGGTTTTTAAGCCAACGCATAGTAGAAGCCCTAAAAATTCATATCCTTTTTAAATTTCTCAAAAATAATGTCTGGTCATTGAATAACGATGATTTGAAAATCGGCTAACACAAATTGTAAGCTGAAGGCAAATGCTTTTCGAAGATAACAGCTGACTTTAACAGCTGTTAGGCTTAACAGTGGACTGTTATTCAACATTTTGGGTACAGTACCTTAAAGTTTGGAGTTTTATTAAGATGTTAACATAAAAAAATTATAAATTTTCATACTTCGCAAAAATGACTAAATACCCGAAAAACGGCAAAATTCCCCATAGTGCAATGTCGGCGTATTTTATGTGTGTGCGTTGCGGAGCAGCGAGCCAATGCTAAAGGAATGAGGCAAGCAATTTTAAGTTGCATAGTGTTTTGGATATGCTGCGGTTTTTTTTTTTTTTCATTATTAATATTATTGTTATTATTTATTATTGCTGATAATAGTTATGCGAGAGCGGATATTGAACTGTACACCATTGAGCAGACCGCACAAGTTGTTCGAGTAGCAATTAGCTGAAGCTGTAGACGCAGTCGTGAAAAATACATAAATAGAAAATCTGAAGCTGTGAGAGTTCGTGTTCAATATTTTATGACAGATATACAAACATACATACATATGTATATACACTCTCGCAGGACACAATAGCAATTGCCGAGTAGATAATGCGAAAAGGCTATGGGCAGGAGTTTGAGCGGGTGAAGGGAAACACCGTGCATTACAATAGCAAAATGTTTGTGGCTACCTGTCGCTGCAGCTATAACTGTATCTGTATCTGTATCTACATCTATAGCTGCTGAATCCCTAGCCAACTTATGTAGCCCATCTGCGCCCAGCTTGGTGCCAGCTTTTGTCTGCTTCAAAACTTTACAATTCAATTTTTTTTCACTCTTTCTCTCGCTCTCTCGTTGTATTTGTATATGTGCGTGTCTTATATCTCCAACTCTCTCCCTCCTTGTCCATCTCTTTCTCTATTTTGGCAGTCTGCCGCTTGGCATGCATTTGAAATTGCATTTTGTATTGAATTTATAAATATTTAATGCCATTCAAAATGCCATGCAATCGCCCAGACTAAACGAAACCAAACCAAACCGAAGCGAGACGAAACCAAACCAAAACCCCAAACTGATTCTGAAGCGTTGGCGTATTAAATTTGTATAAACCTTGCCATGACTAACTGTCTAGGATTTGCCTCACAGCAAAGGATGTCCAAACCAAAAGTTGTTTTTTTCGTTTGCTGGTTAAAGCAACTCAACTTTGTGCTCATCATATTAGTTGGTAGCTTGGTGCTGCAATTTCAAGAGCTAGAAAAGTTTTTCTATTCGAGGCGAGCCAGTTGAGAGCCAAGTTTTAGTTTGGAATTGCAAACTGCGAATATGGCGGGACGTAACTTTTTTAAAATGATAAAAACTGAAGAATTTTTTTTTAGTTTTGTGCCCGAATAGCTTTTGGCATTTTGTACAGATTGCCGATGGCGCAGCGCCTGAACATTGTTTGCTCAAAGGATTAAGTTATCAAAATTGGAGAAGAAAACTGGTTCTCTAATAATTAACACAAGTCAACTTGTTAATCATTGAGCAATTGGCAGCAGTTGATTCCCAAAAGGGTTGTTTGTAAGCCGCATCGCTGATTTTTTAATCAGCGCATATCACTGACTGGCCCGCGGGTCCCTTTCGCGGGATCAACTCGTTCCGTCAGCTGTCAACATTTTTATTACCCCTCAACGAACTCTCGTCTCAGCTTTTAATCAGCTATAATTATAATTACCAAATAAAATGAGAAATGAAAAAAAAAAAAAAAAGAATACCCAAGTTAGGAAAATGTTCCGGGTAGTTTCTAGCGTGTTTTCATTACGACTTAAGTCAACTTGTTTCGTCATTTATTACGCTTCACATTGTTGTTGGCACATCTGCTAATTGTTGTTGCTGTTCTCTGTCGGCGATACCCTTTACTTTTCCATTCTTGTTTCGTTTATGGGGTGAGGTCCCACATTAATGATTGAGCGTGGAAAATTGCGTGATTGTTGCGTGCTCTTCTACTCCACGGTATCAAATTGATGACGAGTGTATTAGATTATGGAAAAATATTTGTGTAGAGCTTCCAGTCAAAATTAATTGCATAAAGTAAAATTTTTTGAATTAAGTATGTGTAAAAAATATTTATCATTATATATAGATTTTTTGTTCAAATTTCATAAATTCATTATTTTTTATTTTTCATATTTTATATTATATACATAAAATATATATTTTTTTCAATTTATTTTTTTTTTTAAATTAATTCATAATCATTCAGTTGCATTCCTTTCTCATGACGTTCAAATACGTATCAATATGTTAGAACTTAATTTACTACTAACTAAAGCGAATTGCTCTCAAATACAGTAAGGGTATTCTTATACTATATGGCGCTCGTTTATTTCGATTTCGATTGCGATTGCGATGTTTAGTCTGCCAATCAATCTTTGTCTTTGCTTGCGAAAAAAGTCTGGTAAAAAGCGAACTTTAAACAAGAAAATAAGTTCGTTCTTGTTGCTGTTGTTTTTGTTGTTGTTTAAATGATTGA